ATACTACAGATGGTGGGTGCTTTCCTGCAAAATTATATGCCAGAGTGACGATTTTGGTATCTCTCCAAGCGGGAACAGCTACGCGAACTGCATTGCAGTTACCGACGTATTCTATTGACATTTCGCTTGGTTATTGTTTAAAAACTTTCTCATCTGGAAGCCTGCTGTTGGAAATACGGGTTTTTCTTAGAGTTTCTAAAGCAAAAATGCCGCGACTGCACAAGTACTCAATGAGCGGGATCGAAGTGCCGTAATTATCAAAAAACAGCCGGTAGTTCAGATAGGTAGGCACATCACATATTAGTCCTAGGCACACGATAATACGTATTTTTAGGTGCTGCGGAACTATGTAGTACTAGGAGAATCGGACACCAGATCTAGATCCGTTTCAGTACTAATGATCTGAGCACTGGTGGATGTAGTTTCTGAGGTGCGGTATACTGCACATCATTAGTCAGGTGACACCTCTAGATCCTCATCAGAACTTTCATGCTCATTCGGCTCGAAGTAATACGTTGGATCGGCGACATTGTCGTCAGAAGAAAAGTGAAGGCCATTTTCACTATGTTCCCATTCTACTAGTATAATTTCCAGGCCCTGAGCAGTGAAATTATGCAATGAACGACTCATTATGATCCCCAAAAAGAAGCATTCAAATTCAAAAATAACACTAAGAAAGTCTTCCAGAACGCGCCATGTTGCATATATGCAACAAAACAAAATCAGCAAAAAAAAAATAAAAAGAAACGGCTCTGCTAAAAAAAAATTATTGATTATTGAAATACATCCTCTTATCTTTAACTCACACCAATTTCAAAAACGAAACATCTGTATTTCAGGAATAAATCGTTTATCGTAAACGAATTCTAAGGGCGCGAAACTGGTTTGTGCTCACACGCCAATTCGATGAAATACAAACACAAATTTATCCACCTTGTCAGCTGGTTTGCTTCTTACCCGTTAGAATGTTTTGTTGTTTATGTACAACACTGCGTAGAGTCAGTCTAACTGCATTTGCTATATTTTTACTACCCTTTAAATGGTATGTTGCAGAAGTACAACACGGCGCCATAAAGGGTTAAAATATGTGCATACACATTTATGTTCAAAGTGTAAATGTACCTACATAAACTTTCCCATGAATACCATCAAATCATTGATCTTGAAGGGAATCTATGTATGCATGTACTAAGAAAATATATGAGCAAATTAAAAAGTCGATGCAATTTACAGTCGAAAAGTATAGTTTTTGTATAGATTTCGTACTGAAGGAACAATTTCATTTCCCAACACTGTGCGACATGCGGGCGCCACCATAAACAAGTGTGAGCTAAAAGTGAGAGTGTGTTAGTGTGCCTTCGCATGCTGTCGCTTTCTCGTCGTTTGTACATGTTTTGTTAGTATAAACGATGAAAATCACAAAATTCACTAAAATCACTCAACTGAACTATTGGCGCTTCTTAGTGCTCCTACTCATTTCGGTATAACTAATTTGTTTAATGGCTCAATGAGAGAATTGAGCACTACACCAATTCATATCAACAGAGAACTTAGTCATTGTACATGATCTCGCTTTGTGTGCCGAGCGTAAAATAGAGTTAGTGCATATGTGTGAATATTCTGCAATGAATAATATCCACTAACATTTTTCACTATTTCTTGTGTTATTCAACCAATTACTTAAAAACGCGAATTATTGCAGTTCCCTGCTGTGCACACGATAACTCGAGTAAAAATTGAGGTATCTCTACGAAACTTGGCATGCTTACTTTTTTTAAGCGTAGGATTGAAAATAAGCAAAATCGGGACATAACCACGCCTACCTCCCATATAACGGTAGTTTTCCGAAATACGAAAACTGCTATATTTTAGTAACTACTGACGCTTGCTGAAAATTGATATTTGCAATGATTTTTAGGAAACATTATAAATTTTCACTTATGATTACATTTGTATATCTTGGTAACCGCTTCACCAATTTCTCCCAAACACAGTTGTTGGCCTTCGTATGACTTAACGAAGGGCTGAAAATTTTTAAAATCGGACAATAACCACGCCCACATTCTATATAACGGTATTTTTTTCGACTAACATCAGCCACAGCCATAACACTTTCACGATTTTTTTCCGTTACGCGCCGAGAAAAACTGGTTAGCAGTTGAACTTATCGTTCAGTTCCATGTTTAGTTTCATGTTCCAGTTTAGTTTTTTTTTTTTTTTAATTTAAAGTATTGGACTTTTGAGCTAGATTTTTGAAAGACATCAACGTCAATAATTTATAAATACCTCACAACTTTGTTTGATTCATGGTACAATTATTACAGGTATTGTCTTCCCAGAGAGTTTTGCTTCACATCGAAATTCGTGCTCCCTTATTTTCATTTTGACGCATTTCAATGTTGTTTCAATGTTTCAATTATTATGGATAAGAATAAAGTCGCCAGAGAAAAGATGAAGCCACGGGAAGCAGTACGCAAAAGACAAACAGAAGACAGCAACCTCAGATACTTTTCATGTGATGGAAGAAAAAATGACGGATAACCAATGGAAAAAATTTACGGAAAATGCCACCAAATCATGGTTAAGAACCACATTTAGCCGCCCTTAAAGAGCCGAACTCAAAACTATTAGGATATGTGAAAGTTCAAGCTGAAGATGCTTTTACCAAGCAAAGGCAGCTTAGGGAGTTTTTCAGCGAAAAGCGTTTCAGTTTTAAATAATTTAATTGGCATTTGCAGTGATGGAGAAAACACTAACACAGGCGATTTGAATGGCATAGTAAGGCGTTTTGAGATGGATTTGGGAAGGCCGTTGCATTGGTTTATATGCCTTCTACATTTTAATGAATTGCCTTTTCGACACCTATTCGAATTTCTCGATAATTCCAAAACAAGCAGACCAAGAACTGCCAGCGGTTCAATAACCAAACAAATTGGATGTTGTGTGAAAATGGTATGAAAATAATTTTTTCGGAATATTTTCTTAGCAAATTTTTTATTAAACACAAGTTTTTAAATTTTTTCAGAGTGTAGTTGATTTTAAAACCATACCACTAGAAAACAGGCCACCTTCTTCATCAGATGATTGGAAGCGCGATTTGTCGACTGATGTAAAGTATTTGCTTCAAATGGCTTCGGCAATATTGGATGCTTTTATTGCGGTTGACTTAGCTAACATAAAACCTGGACCTGTGGCGCACTCCCGTTGGCTAACTAAGGCCAGTAGAAGTTTTCGATTGTACGTTGCAAGAAGTTCACCACCTTATAACTTAAAAACTCTAGCAGAATACGTAATAAGAGTTTATGTTCTGATGTACTTTAACATTAAGTACTACCATTCTGTTATATACGACAGTCCGCTTATCTTCAAATTTATTCGCCTCACGCAATTTCTTCCCTCCAAGGAGCGGCAAGTTATCAACTCAGTAGTCCAGAATAACTCATACTTTGCTCGACCAACAAATGTCTTGCTATCAATTCTTTACGATTATCATAAATCAGAAGCGACCAGGCAATAACGAAAATTATGTACTACCGTGACAACCTTTGCGATACAGAAGAACTTAGAGAGTACAGGAAATGTAAAATTAACTTTGACTGCTCCAATTATTTCCCTATGATAGATTTGGATGATGACAATATTTTAACAGAACCGCCAATTACTAGAAACATTCCGTATAACCATTTGAAGGAATATTTATAATTTGAAGACCCTTCCTGACCCACAAGTTCCATGCCACATACAAGGAACGTTCAACTGCTAACCAGTGTTTCTCGGCGCGTAACGGAAAAAATCGTGAAAGTGTTATAGCTGTGACTGATGTTAGTCGAAAAAAATACCACGCTGGGAAAGCAAGCAGGACTTAAAAACTCAGCTAAATATTTGTTTAAGTTTTTTCAACATTTTTTTTTTTACCTGATGTGAAACTTCCCCTTAAAAATCGCTGGCTCGAAATTGGTTTTAGACATATAGTTTCTTAAGCGAAGTTGCACAGAATGATACGTAGAGCATTTTCCGCATATGCGATTTTATGAAAAATAAATTGACCCGCCCAAATGCACATACTATAAATATTACGGTTAGCCTAAGTATACAAACTTGAGCCCTAGCAATAATATAACAGTTGCGTAGCGAACATCAACAAGCGAACATTGTGACTCTAATTATATATATTTAATAAAGTTGTTGCTGAATACTACAGTTGCTTTGAACTCACCTTCGTCAATGAGATAACGGTAAATGTCTTAAAACCAAGAAAATTTCATTATTGTTGATAATGGGTTTTTTACAATTCCATTATTAGTCACTGTCTATTGTAACTATAAGCACAACTTGGATTGCAGAAGGTCCGCATATATTGTCACTTCAAATAAAGAAAAAAAAAGCTAGTTGTTGATGGTTTTGTTATCTGTTCATAAAACAACATAAAAATCCGTTTTATTGGAAGCTCGTAAAAAAACTAAATTACAATGTAACCATGCGGTATTACAGTGATATTCCATAATGAGCCCCAAGTTCCTTTGAACACTGGCTTGATCCACTTGCATATGAGCATGACAACAAATGCAAATCTAAAACTAGGTGCAGAAAAAACAAGTGATAAACCATCACAAATAACGCCGGCACAAAAAAAAAATGGTGTGTGCTTTTAACCAGACCCATTGACCGACATGTATTTCGACCCAATTTTTTCCGTGTGCCGCTGTACCGGCTGAATTTCGAGGCAAATTAATAGATTTGCGCTTTACACAATATATTAGTGTTGGGCCGAGCTTCTCCTCCGATTTTTGGCGTACGCCTTGATGTTGTCACACAAAAGGGAGGGACCTACATTTTTACGCCGACTCCGAACGGCGATCGAATTTTTATGAGAAGCCATTTTTCATGGCAGAAATACACTCAGAGGTTTGCCATTGCCTACCGAGGAGGCCGTACAGATACCTTACGTAAGAACCCTGAAATCTTTTAAAACTAAAAACACTGTTGTAAAATGCACTTACCTTTGCGAAAACCGAGGGCCGTAATGTGGTAAGCGATCTCTATCGGGAGTTTCACGACTGGGTGTCAAACGGCTAAAACAAATAGAAAATGAAAATGTATAAGTTATTTTTAAATATGTACATACAAATAGATGATGAAAGACCAAATTCTCTAAACATATCGCTCACGTCCCTCAAAAGCGGACTAATTCATAATTTCCACTTTCCAGAAGATACAAAATAGTTGTTTCTAAGCTCCTATTAACTAATCCTAGGGTGAAGAACGTCTTTACTGACCCTTTTCAGCAAATCATAAGAAAATATTGCTACCGCCAGATGATAAATATACATGCGTTTGTATGTATAACACAAGCCAACAAAAATGGAAAAAAAAAATTTTGGTGCGGCAAATGTTACAGCTGTTTTTGATAGCCTTTTTTGTTCTGATTACGAATCCGTAGGTATAAAGTTTACGTCAGCTCCAGATATTGACCAAAACGAGGTCAAAGTGTCAAAAAATCGCATTTATGCAATATTTTAGAAGCTCTAGAAAAGAAAAAAAAGGTGATAGAACCTTCCACCTAGGCTTAAATTAAAACTAGAACTCTCGACGACTACCTCTGAACCTTGACTTGATAGTCACTTACAGTCATTTATTGAACAATAAAAACTGAGGTTTTTTCAATAGCAAAATTTTACAGTATTTTTAACCGACTTCAAAAAAAGGTTATCAATTGGTCGGAATTTTTTTTATATATGTTTCCGCATATCGTTGGAACACATTGCATGATTTTTTATAATTCTTTTTTAAATTCAACAATTTTATAATGAGCTCGAGGCCATTTTTTANATTTTTGTTATGCCAACACAATCAAGCGCAGCTATTCCGCTGCAATTCACTTGATCATGTGGTTGTTGGTTTTGTTGGTTTGTGCTAATAATTCTATTTTTAGAATGCTTAACTTTTAGGTGTGCTCGTCCTTAAGTTATTTGTTTTTTGTTATTTTTTGGCCTTTTAACAATTATATTCAACAATTTTATAATGAGCTCGAGGCCATTTTTTAAATGAAAATTTATTTTGGAAAAGCAACAATAATTTGAAAAAATGGTATTGTCGGTTCGAATCCTACTGAAAGAAAAAAATGGCCTCGAGCTCATTATCAGTAGGATTCGAACCGACGATCCC